AAGGTTCATATGAAAGTCCATTGGAGTTTCTTGACAAGGGCTTCAAAAAGCATCCCTCTATTGGGTTCTTCCTCATTTTTCTTTTGTGTGGATAACTCTTAAAAAACTAAAAATGAACTTGCTATGACCTGGTTATACCACTCCTTGGCATATACCCAAACTATTCATCAATATTGTAGAGACACTTATACAACTATGTTTGTTGCTGCTCTTTTCACAATAGCTAAGAGATGGAAGCAACCTAAGTGTCCCTCAACTGACAAGTGGTTAAAAAAATGTGGTATATTTACACAGTGGAGTTCTATTCAGCAGTAAAGAAAGATGAAATAATGAAATTTGCAGGTAAATGGATGGATCTAGAAACTGTGATACTAAGTGAAGTAACAGAGACTCAGAAAAATAAAAGACATATGTTCTCCCTCATTTGTGGATCCTAGCACCAAATCCTTTTAAATTCCATGCCCTTTTAATTAGATGATGCTGTACAGGAGTCTCTGCTGCATGAAATAACTGTTAGCTTCATGACTTCAGCTGAGCGTAATTGTTAAACAGCGTCACAATTGAGCTTGTTAACGGCTGTGCTCCTTCATTAAAGGAGGGCCAAGCAGGGTCCTTGGACACTCACTGGAGTACACACATGGTCTCCTGGTTTTGTGGGGGGCTAAAGTATATAATCTGGGGAAGGCTAGGAAGAGAAGGCTTGACCCATGCTGGGTGAAGGCTTTCCAGTGTGCATACCCTCAGGTCATTCATATACCTCAGCAACCCCTCAGTTATCTCAGTAAGTAAGCTCAGTAAATCATTGGTTCCTCAGGAAAACTTTAATCAAACATTGGTTTGACACTAGAACCTTAAAAGGGAATAAGCATTTCTTAGTATCTCCAGGAAAAGAATTCTCACAACAGATGGAAAATTTGTTAAAGTTATTGTGTCTCACAATTATTTTAAAAAGGAGAATGAGAATATAAAAGACATTAAAAGGATATGGGAATGGAGATATTTTACAAAATAGAAAAAAATGAGAAAGCCTAAGCAAGTGATGAAGGTTTTGATTAAAGAGAAACTGCAACCCTAACAGCAGGGTTCCCCAACATTAATCAAACAACCTGCTGACAAATTATACATAAAACTAGCTCAAGGAATATAATATATGTCTAGTCAAGGTTTATCTGAGAACATTTGTTTTTTCACCCAAGCTTTATCTATATAGCACATGATAATTAAAATACCAGACCAGTGGAACTAACATTATTGGATGTTTAACAGTCATTCTTTGAGGCCTATACTAATCTGGTCAGAGGTACTTAAAGGACAGTTTTTGCCCCTCACCCTCCAAGGCTGACTAAGTTCCAGGGGACCATGGAACATTTCTCAAAATATCCTGTAACTGTGGTGAGTCCTCTTGTTAAGGGAGGCCGTGGAGACCCCACCAGATGGACTTGAACCAGTGCCCAGTCTGCGAAAAGGAGGGTCAACTCAGAGGAAACATTTCCTCCATGCTTCCAAGTGAAGCCAGCCATGATAGAGCAGGACCTTTGACTTATCTTCACATAGATGGAACTGGTAAAAGAGAGGAGCCAGGGGCTACTCCTAAGCAGTCGTTTTTCTTTCCTGGAACTCTGGTTGAGCACAGATGAGATGGGCTACTCTAGAGTCAGAGTCCTTTCCCAAGTCAATTCCTGTGAAAGCCAAGTATCCAACATGCTAAATAAATTTTAGACAATAGAGCCAGGAGACTGTATAGGGAGATGATAAACTATTTAATAATTGCATATTTTCAGTTATTTCAGGTGATGATTGTCTCTCATACTGTGGATTTCCTTTAAGTTACAGACTCTATTTTCTTCATTTAGTTCTGGCAAAGAGAAGGCACTGAATAAAAGCTAGTGTTTCAGTAGCACTAACTGTATATGATATATTTTTACTTTACACTAGACACTTCATATAAGCATGTCATTAATCCACAGAATGTTGACATCATCTTACTGGTGAGGAAACTGAGGCTCAAGCATGTCAAGACCGTTTTCAAGGTCAAAATAACTGTTTCTTTAGCAACATTTATGCCTTTAATATACTTAGATGATTTTTAATCTTGTTTTTACCTCTAATAACATTTATTTGTTTATTTATTTATTTTTGTGGTGCTGGAGATTGAACTTCGCTTGCTTTGCTCATGGTAGGGAAATGTTCTACTACTGAGCTACAGTACAAGTCCCTCTCATGGCATTTAGGATAATGTTCATTGCTTGATAAATGTGAAATAGTGAATTAATGAATATATTTTTATTTTAGAAATTAATGTAGGCAAAATCAGGGTATAAAATAAGAATTACTAATATATTAAGTACATAGTATGAGATAAATATAAAAGAGTTTTCCTCAAGGCCAAACGTTTAGTTGAACCAGTGACGTGAATGTCGTGAGAACAAGAACATTTGATGAGGATTCCATCAAAGGAGACATTCAGATTAGGTGAACATGGCAGGCTTATATGAGATATGAAATATGGTCTGATTTTAGGTCTAGAAGGGCTTGGGTAACAGTTGGGAATGTGTGAGGAATATCATGATTTAAAGCTGCACGAGGCAAGTAAATACACCATTTAGATTGGACAGTGTCTGTGGAAAAGAAGGGGCTGAGGACATTAAAGTAGATCTTGGAGAAACACTCAGTAGATTATAATTGTCACAATGGGGCCCAGAGGTCTCTAAGGCCACACTTGGTGAACAGTTCTGTTGCCACTGCTGTTAAGGAGGCCCAGGCAATGTCCCGAGGGGAGCAGGTGGTTTGATGATGTACCAGTTCCTCTTTAGCCTTGGTTAGAGTGAATGAGCTGCAGTGCAGTGGGGACACTCCCTCTTCTTTAGTTATGGTCCTCAGCAGGTGAGTCTTCTGGGGAAGGGGAGGACATAGAAGCATGACTTCTCCAGGATCATACCTGTGATCCAACCCACGGATGAAGACAGGACCAAAGAGGAGCGGGTCTCACATGATCTAGAAGATAGAACTGAGCAAGGTAAATGCAATTACTCTCCTTCCTAGAATTATGGATGTGTACAGACTGGGTTGGCTACTCTGGATTCACAGTCTCTTCCAAAATTCAATTCTGGTGATGACAAGGATCTAATATGTAAAGCACACTGTAGACATCAGAGCCAGGAGACAGAGAAAAGAGTCGCAGTCAGAGGTGTTGAAGATAAATGAATAATTTTTTGGACTAGAAAGTGGGAGATGATCCTTATTTGGAGGCAGAGTTCTGAGTAGAGAGTCAGATTTTTAAAAGCACTTTATTCATTCAGCCTTTTGATTTCAGTTAAACTGACTGCACCCATTTTATTTTCCAGTCTTGAACTAGAAAATATTTGTGTTATAATTGAATATTTCATAGAAGAGTCTTGAAGATCACCTTAAGTACTTTCAGAATACAATGGATATGCTGTGATTTCTTCAGTGTGAATGATGGTTTTAGCATGAGAAAATGATTGAGTCTGTAGACAGACAGGCTGATGCAGAATGAGGATGATCTGGTTTCTACTGAGCTTTGGTTTGGAGTTCGTTAGCCAGACTAATGAGAGAGTTGCATACACGATCATAACAAGGGAAAATTGGGTTAGATATATTTTCTACTCTTAAATGATCTTTTTATAATCTAATGCTACTCTTACTCCCTTTAACCAGCACCAAGCATTTAGGCACTGACATAATTCGATACTGCCTACATCACGAAGACTGGTATCTGTGTTTAAATCTATCTGTGTCTATGAATCTGTGTCTGAATAATCTCTATAAACAATAAACTATGTTTTCAGTTCTGGTAATCACACCAGGGCTTCTCAAATGCTAGGCAGGCGCTATAATACCAAGCTATCTCTAAGATATTCATAAATTTATTGAGATCGGAGATAAGATACTGTATCTATCATATTGGGTTAGTAAGTTGACGATACTGTCTGACAAGCAAGTGGACACATTTGAGCCAAACAGCCTAACCAATTTTCTGAGGAAGGGAGGAAGTTCTGTGAATGCTGGGGCTCTAAACTCCAATCCTCAGACTTGTGTGGTAAGTGCTTTATCCTTTGTGCCTTTTCCAAGCCCCTTTACACCTTGTTTTTAAAAACAGTTCTCACATTATGGGGTTAGGTCCAAATCTCAATATACTGACGGAGGAGATACACCAACTGTACTTTCAGCAGGAAGCATCAAGTCCACAGGATTGAGAGGCCTGGTTAAAAGCTCTGGAACAAACAGGTAGTAGAGGTATGGTTCAAACAAAGATGACATCATTTCAGATCCAGAGATGATCATCTGCAAAAGAGCAGAACAGAGGCTGAAGAGATGGCTTAGCGGTTAAGAGCACTGGCTGCTCTTGCAGAAGACCCAGGTTATGTTCCCAGTACCCACATGGCGACTAACAACCATCCATAACTCCAGTTCTAGGGGATCAGACACGCTCTTCTGACTTCTTTGGGCATTGCACGATACAGGTGCATTTACACACATGCAGGCAATCCACTCATACACATTATATAAAAAAGAGCAAGAAGAGAAGACTGGAGAGAAATGAACTTAATGCCAAAAAATAAGGAAATTCATAATTTAGAAATACTTAAGGAATACTGTAAGCAGTATATTAACCCATATTCTTCATAAGAAACATTGAACTATTTTCTGTATTTGTACAGCTCAAAGGCTATGGGACGTTTCAACACCAGTTTGGACAGAGGCTTCATTTTGATAGGCTTCTCAGATTGGCCTCAATTAGAACTCATTTTCTTTATTTCTATTTTGATTTTCTACTCCTTAACTCTCTTTGGCAACACCACCATCATTGTTCTCTCAAGACTGGACCCTCGACTGCACACTCCCATGTACTTCTTCCTCTCCCACCTCTCCTTCCTGGACCTCTGCTACACCACCAGCACTGTGCCCCAGCTCCTGGTCAATATTGAGGGACATGACCACACCATCACCTATGGAGGGTGTGTGGTCCAGCTCTTCAGTGTCCTTGCTCTGGGCTCCACTGAGAGTTTGCTTCTGGTGGTGATGGCCTTCGACCGTTATGCTGCTGTGTGTTGTCCACTGCACTACACGACCATTATGTACCCTAAGCTGTGCCACACATTGGCTATCATCTCCTGGATGGGAGGCCTGATGAACTCTCTGACCCAGACAGGACTCATGATGGCCATGCCTCTCTGTGGCTATCAAATGAATCATTTCTTCTGTGAGATGCCTGTGTTCCTCAAGTTGGCTTGTGAAGACACAGGAGGAACAGAGGCCAAGATGTTTGTGGCCAGAGTTGTGATTGTTGCAATTCCAGCAGCTCTGATACTAGGTTCGTATGCAAACATTGCAAGGGCAGTGATGAAGGTCAAGTCAGTGGCTGCTCACAGAAAGGCTTTTGGAACCTGTGGGTCCCACCTCCTGGTGGTTTCTCTTTTTTATGGCTCAGCCATCTACACGTACTTACAACCCAAGGGCAGTTATTCTGAGAGCAAAGGAAAATTTGTGGCCCTTTTTTATACTGTAATCACCCCCATGCTCAATCCTCTGATTTACACCCTGAGGAACAAGGATGTGAAGGGGGCTCTGTGGAAGGTGCTGGGGAGAGGCACAAACACAAGGTAGGAAAAGAAAGATCAAGCAGCACTTCTTCCCAAGTCAGATCCCAACCCAGTGTGTTAACACTGTGACCCAAGGCAGAGGACATAATTTCACCTTACTTTTCTAATTTGCTGTGATCCAGTGCAATTTCTGTTCTATTGCAGGACCTGTTTTAAAGGCCTCTTATAGTGCTTACTTACCATTCTGTGATACTTAGAATAAGCAAGCAGATCATGAACAAGCTGCTTCATGGAGCATGTGGGTTTCAGCAGTGGGTTAGTTGGCCAAACCAGTCGCTCAGCACACAATAAAGGAAAGCAGGAAAATCTCCTCAGAATAACCTGAGTCTCCATGATGCTCGTTGGATTCATGGAGAAAAGATTTCCCTGGTGTGACAGATGAGGATGGGGAAAATGATTATAAAATTATCCGACTAGGAGAAAAAAAGAAATTTATAGTTTGAAGATGCAAAAATCATATAGAAAAATTTATTTGTATAAGAAAGTTAACAATGGTAATTACAAAGAAGCTAATGAAAAGGCTTTTATTACTTTATCAGATGTATGAAAATTGATTTCTGGGCTCTATTCCACTAATATTCATGTCTATTTTATGCCACCACCACATTTCCATCACCATTATTTACTTCTATGTATTAAAATGATTTTTTATGTTAAAAAGTTGCAGGGGTGTTTGTCAACAAACTTTTGTAACTGTGGTGCTTTGCATTACCTTGATCATGTAATATTCACTAATATTTGTATAATGTTTGGAAACTTGTTTTTCATACATTGTCATTAATTCTAAAGGAGCATTGTGACACTTTTGTTATATTTTATAGTTTGTTATATTTCTTTGTCAATGGAGAAATACTGCTTTCACCTCAAATGGCGTCATGTGACTTCCTGGGAAGATGTGAGCAAAGATCTGTTCACCTCAGAGCAATGCTGACGGAGAAATGCTCTCACCCATGTCTAGCTTAGCAGGATGATGAGTTTACCAGGGTCACTGACAGAAGTAAGGGAGAGGCGTTACTTATAGAAGCATGAGTGACTCAAAGACAACAGCACCACCAAAACCCCACCTCTGTATGAATGATGATTCATGAAAGCTGCTTTCTGAGAGCTCCCCCTGTGACTTGAGGCAAATTGGCCCCTCAGCTGGAGAGTCTCCCAGCAATTTTTTCTGCTTATATCCCTCTGGGGAAGGTCCTCATGAACCTTGTAAGTTTTAAAGCCTTCCTGAGACCTGTGAGTTTTGTTTATTTTCTGAGCCATAAGGAGCCTCCCTCCTCATTCTAGGAGGGAATGTTTCAGTTCAGAAGAAATAACTACATAGCACTCCACCTCTTCCTCTGATGCTTACATTCTTTCTGCATCCTCTTCTGCAATGTTCCCTGAGCTTTCCAGGGGATGATATTGATGACTGATTATTTTTCTCCCTCTGTGACTAAGTATCAGGCCACCAGTCCACAGCAACTGTTGCTTAGTCTCACGTGATCAGGTATGAATCTAGTGTCCCTCCTGCTCCTTCTGTCGTGACCAATTGAAGCTGAAAGCAGCAATAGTTGATGGGTATAAACACAAATGTTTAGAAGGCAATCTGATTACATCACATCCACTTAGAAAAATGCTATCAGTAACTTCCCAACTATGATTTATGACCTTCACAGCCAGGGGCTCTTGCCCTGACTTACATACCATGTGTGAGTTCTCTCCTGTGGAAAGGACCTCAAATTCAACTGGAAAACAATTGCACCCTTAACAGTTGTGACATTATTTCTCCTGTGGGCACATCTTGCCTGGCATGTTGGTACTGTAGCATGCAGGATTCATAGCTGAGAAGGACTGCGCGTGACAACTCTTCCCCAGCAGTACACATGGTGCCTTCTAGCACAATGAAAGCAAACTGAGAGGGAGATTCCAGTTTAGTCCCAGCCTGATTTTTCCACGTCCCACAGCCAGAGCCTGTGATATCCTCAGCAATAGACATTTGTCATTTAGTTCTGGCATCCAACCAACATCATTGGCGATAGCCTTTTGCAGGACCTCAAGGGCCTCCCTGGCTAACAACTCATAGGGAGGTAACTCATCCTTCTAAATGGGATTTTCACCTCACAACTTATGGCTTCTGGGAGTGCCCTTTCTCACTCATACATGGGGCTTTTGTTTAAATACTTTAACTGCTGTCTTTATGTGTCTTCCAAAGCCTTTTACAAATCTGTGAGGCACTCAAGAGTTAGTTTTTTGTAATGAAACCTTTCTACAAAGAATGACTAGGATCTCTGGAAGTCTATCATCATCAGTTTTACATAAGTGCCAGTTGGTGTTGAGTAGCTTAAGGGACTACTATAAAAGAAATATTAATCAGGGTCCAGGACACTGCAAGCAGATACCATTACCTCTATTAATTTTTTTATCAATGGAGCAATATTGGACATAGCAACATGGTTGGGAGACACTACCATAGCCAGCCTTCCATAATCCATAGACATTTTCCATGAGCCATCCAGCCTCCTCATCCTCCTGCTGCCACAGAGACACTGTGTGTTGCCCCTCCCACTATGATCTTGGTGGGGCTGACTTGCTTTGTTCAACCCTTCTCAAGCCCAAGGGCTGCTCTCTAGCCTGCTGTGCCTGCTGCTAGAGCTGGCTCCTTAGTTCTGACAGGATATAGACCATCACTGCAGTCCCTTACTTCTATGTTGGTTAGTTTCATCATCAGCTTGATACAACCTAGAGGTACATGGTTAGAGGGAACTTCAAATGAGGAATTATCTAGATCAGATTGGCCTGTCAATTTGTTTGCAGGGCATTGTCTTGTTTGATGATTGTTGTGGGAGGGCCCAGCCCCCTGGGAGCAGCCCTATCCCTAGGCAGTAGGGCCTAGGCGATATAAGAAAGCTAACTAAGCAAGCAAGCCTGTGAGGACTGTTTCTCCATGGTTTCTGCTTCAGTTCCTGCTGTGACTTCTCTTAATGATAGATTGTAGGCTGGACATGAAAGTCAAATAAACCTATTCCTAAGCTAAGTTGCTTTTGGTTGTGATGTTTGTAACAAAAATAGAAAAAGTAACTAGGACAACTTCTATTGGCCATACCTAGCTGCTGAAAGGGCCCCAGCTGGGGCAAACAAGTGTACTTTATACCACATACTATGGGGGGCTCACTGCCCACCCTATTACAGTGCTTAACCTTTTATTTTATTTATTTATTTATTTTGGTCTCTTTGAAACAGGGTCTCCCTGTAGCCCCAGCTGTCCTGGAACTCACTATGTGGACCAGGCTGGCCTTGAACTCACAGAGATCCTCCTGCCCAACATTGTGGAGTCAATTCTCTCTTTCCACAGCAGGATATAGGGGTTGAATTCAGGTCTTAAGGTTTTGCAGAAGGCATTTGTATCTTCTGAGCCATTTCACCATTATTTACTTTTAAAATATTTTATTTATTATTTTTATTTTATGTGTATGAGTGTATTGTGACATTTGTGTAAGTGCACCTGTGTCGTGCAATGTCCATGGAGGTCAAAAGAAAGTACATTGGATCCCCTAGAACTGGAGTTATGGATGGTTGTTAGCCACTATGTGGGTGGTAGGAATCAAACTGAAACCACGTCCTTTGCAAGAGCAGTCAGTGCTCTTAACTGCTGAGCAGTCTCTCCAGCCTCTGTCTTTTATTCTGTGGACTGTTGTTTAGGCTCTAAATCCTTCCTGAAATTCACTAACACAGCATTTGACTTTGTGTTAACTTTTTCCCTAGGAACTCCATCTTGACACAGATCTTGCCTCATTTGTTTCGAGTGCCCTAGACAGACATTTCTGCCTGTTTTGGCATTCTTTCATTCCCTTATGATTGTTTTGCACTTTACAAACTCAATTTACGTGCTGGTCAAAGTCACTCATATTTAGTAAAATTTTACCTCATAAATGTCATTTCCCAAAGGGGTCTCATCAAAGCTGCAGAAATTCAGCAATCGGTTGGATTTGGGCTCAGAGGTCTCAGTCCCATCTGGAAGAAAATTATAAGGAGTAAGAAGTCAGCTCTGAGGCTGAGCGCTAGTTGCTATGGGTTTGAAACCCTTAGCATAACCCTAAAGTGCTGAGGCTTGTTCCTTGCTACAAATTTCTCAGGATGTTTATGTAAACCTGTCCTCTATCAGCTTCATCTCATGACTATCTCCTATCCAGACTGTGGCAGGGTGTCCCTAGGCTCACTGACTTGTGGTCGTGTCTTGTGTTTAGGTCCACAGAGTAGGTATGTCAAATACTAGATACCTTTCAACATGGTGCTTGATTATAGCAATCTGAGAGATGGTGAACAACAAAATGGATTTTTGCATCCAGTGTTGGTGTTCTACATAAGAGAAGTCACTGCTTCATCCAGTTCCCTCACTGCATTTAATGCTTGCACGAATTTAGGCTTATCCTGTAGCCAGGACCGCAAGTCCCTGTCACCAGGGCTGCCTGGTTTGCCACGTGCTCTCGGCTTCAGTCCCCTTCCCTCAGCCAGGGCTGATGCCGCGGGCTGTTTCCTACTGTCCTCTGTGCAGCCTCTCTGTTTCTCCGTGCTTTTCAGGGCTCTTTCACCTCTTTTCTGTTACATGACGCTTTTCCTCTCTATCTTCAGGTTTACGGTGTGCTTCTTGTTACCTTGGTCTTCTCATTCACGGAGGAAGCGTCTCATCTACCATCTTACCTTGCAAGTCCTTGGGAAAGCTTAGAGCTCACAAAGATAATAATTGCAGAACTATTTTCTTTACTTCATGTATGCATTTAATGAATATGTATGTAGTTGTGGGTCTTATTTTTATTCATATGACATTTCAAATAGTGTTCATATTGATTGGTAAGTGTGGAATAAATGCCTTTAATTTTTAACTTTGCTAACAAAACCAGGGAATAAAATCAGAAATATTAAGGTATTAAAAGTAGTGTGAGACAAATAAAAAACATTGAACTTCTAAAAATATTTGCTTATTTTTATTTTGTGTGTATGTGTGTTTGCCTTCATGCATGTATATGCACC